AGCTGCAGTACCTTAACTGTCCACTTGAGACAATCTCAAAAAGTGAGTTAAAAAACAACAACAGCTGTTTTTTAATTCACCCATTTGAGGTTGTTTTTTGGGGGGGTTGTAACTGCTTTGACTGTCCAGGTTGCCAACACAGGCGTCTTTAGCCAGGCTTCATGTCAGCTAACTGGAATCAACTGTGTAGTGTTGGTACATATTTAGAACATTTTTAATAGACCTACCTGATAAAATGGAGTTTTTAAATTGTAATAACAGCCCATCCAAGCTATGTGATTTAGATAATATATATACATATATATGCATTATTTTATGTGTTAAATAAGCACGTATGTAAATCTGCACAATAATGTACATAGAGCCTACTGGGTCACCTTGCTAACCAAGCTTGCTATTATTTGCTAATAACAAAGAACTCATCCTCACGTCCAACTATCATCGCTTCTGGATTCCAAAAACAACCATAATGTTATAAATTAATCCTATAAATGGGACTATGGGTGGGCCTGAGCAGCACAAATTGAGCATATCACAGAGATAAAAAGTATGCGAGAAAGGAATTTCCTCCTGCTTTTATCTAGGACCCTGAAACAAAACGGATGGGCACTGCACTCCTCTCCAAATACTTCATTCATGTGACACACCTGCACGTGCATCATCACGTAAGACATCCAGCTCAGGGAGGGGAGGAGGTAATTGTAATATTGCTGATGACACCACCCAAATATAGGCTCCACCTACGTCAAGCTCAAATGTGTCAAGCAAAAGTGAGAGGGAGAAGTGCACTTGAGAACGTGACATACTATGTATAGCCTAAGAGCTCAGCCGGTATTAAGTCATTATGGGAATACTCTGCGGAGATTTGATTTTCATCCGCCAATCTTTTAGCCTGCTGCGCTACAGAATATTTTCTACTATACAGAAAATTAAACGCATATACACAAAGTGGAAACTGGATGCTGATGGATGAGATGAGAAATAGGGGAAGTGAGGAAGGATAATGGGGAAAGAAATATGGAGAGAGAGTCGGCGTGAAAGATGTGAAGGCACAGGGGAAAGTGAAAGGCAGAAATAAAATAATAAAATCAGCGCACTAAAAGTAAGAGCCTGATATACACCCACTGAGAGGTAGAAAGATGTGATCTGAGAGATGAGGAGAGAGTGGCATGAGAAGCGTAGAGATGAAACAGAACAGCGGTGGGCAGAGAGACACAGAACAGTGACACAGCTGTGAGTGACAGAGGCTGGGGGATCAGAGTGGTGAGTACAGCAGAGGGGGGGTGTCTGCTTTTGATGTGGGGAACGCAGATCAGACACATCATCAACAGGGGTTACAGAAGACTACCGGCTGGGTGGGCTACAGTCCACCCCTGCCATGACAAGTGCAGATGATGCACGGCTTCTGGGATGTTTGAATGCTGTCATTTTGAAAGTACAATGATTCAGAAAAAAGAGCCAAACTCACTGCTGCTGCCAGGTTCAGCAAAAGACACCATAGCTGAACAGAGACAGTGGATAACACCAGAAACTTTGGAAAAGAAGCTACTGCACTTTCATTTATGCAAATTAAGTAAATTTGGTCTGCTGTGCTGTATATCACACAGCTAAAGGAGGTATAGTATCCAGGTCAATACATCTACTTATTTACAAAAAAAGGAGCCAACCATGAAACCAAGTCCTCCACCATCTGTTGGCCAAAAGTAGAGTTTACTACAGAAGTTTACTCATCAAACAAGGGAAACACGGAAATGTTATACACTGTAAAAACAGATTCAAAATCATTCATATAGGACATTTCACATCTCTAATTTGGACTAATTGGACTGTGCTTTCCTGTCTGGCGATAGCCTAGATCTCGCTACGCTCAACAGTATGCATTAGATAACATTTTCCTCAGCGGGATGAAATCTGTCCAATAGCAGCGCAGCAGTTGAGGTCCTATAAGGCCACGCCAGTGCGCACGCTGGGCCTCTGAGCTTCTAGAAGTGTGAGCGCGCACGTGAGGAGCTATGGGAAGCTAGCGGAAGTCGGTGAGGTCCGAGCCCCCTATCCAACCCCTGACAGAGAGATAATTACGATAGATAGGAGCCCCGTGAGGAACACTGTTCCCAGCCTCCTCTTCTAAAATGGCAGCTAGGGTAACACCCAGCGGTCCCACACCTCATAAACTAAAATTAGGCTACAGCTACATCCGTCAGCCAGTGGTGGAAGGGTTGACTGGGGACATGCTCCAGTGGACACGAGTGAACAACAGACAGAGAGCAGCATGTGTCGTGGCTGTAACAATAATCACAGAACAAATAATAAGAACCAATAATAACGACGTCAGGTATTAACTGAGGACTAAAACTTTAACAACAACTTAGCTGAACTGCAGGAAACTGAAAGAGGAAACATAAAAGGTTTGTGTTGTGTTTGATCTTTCAACACATCATCATCTGATGTTTTTGCTGATACTGTTGTGAGGATTCACTGTCAGTCTTACTGCATTCATGTCAGACAAAAAGTATTTCAGTTTCCAGATTTTTCTTATTTCATGTCATCGTTTTCTTTTCTAGCTGCCAGCTGAGGAAAAGAATGCTTTCCTTGTGTCATTATCAAGGTTGTCAGATTTAGAGTATATACTGTATCTACCTGTGTTGTTCGTGCCTTATATGGCTTTATATCTTTCGGGGCCTGTGGAACTGAGGGACGGCAGTTTTTGGTTTACCAGATGCTGAGTCCTCCTCCTGTTGCTATGACATTAACGAGCAAGTGGAAGGTGTCTATTTAAGGAATGGTACGTGCAGATTAAATGAAAGCAGTCTTTTGCTTATCAGACGTCTTTTCAGGTATCAGCTATCAGGGAAAAAAATATATATCCCACTACAGATGTTGCTTAAGAGTTATGTAGATTGCCGTGCAGTTCTGAGAAAAGATTTCATTAAAACTAAGTAGAAACAGCTGGGCAAGTGTGTGTGTGCCTGTCAAGGTCAAGAACACAGTTATGCGCTTCAAGTTGTAGTTATCACGTTTTTTAAAAAGCAGAATTGAAAACCAGGTGCTTGGGAGTGTTTGTCAGAAATATTACTGTAACAGGTGCAAAACATCAGCTTCTCAGCTTCACATGACTGGAAACCACCATCTGTTCTATAAGAACAAGGGAGGCTTAAGTAATTAAAAAGTAATCAATAACAAAAACAGTCTTAATTCAATTAATTTCTCATTTTCTGCACACATAGCGTACACACCCACTGTTTAGACGACCTGATGATACAGACCTGTTTTAAGTATGTGAGATGAAAGTGAGTGAGAATGGTTGTCTGGTTCTCTGCAAAACACTGGTCATTTATCCAGGGTGTACCTTGTCGTTTACCCTATGATAGCTAGAATAAACTCCAGACCACCCATGACACTGAATTGGACGAGTGGATGGATGCTTGACACTTTCAAATTGAGAGCCAAACTGTTAATACAGG